CTCCATCTCAGTGGAATCTGAGCCGCTCTCTTTTTTGTGCAAGATCCTCGTCGGTGTACGTTGTGTACCAGGAAGTGTGGTGGTACGTCTAGTTGCGGCTTCATGTCGCGACGGCAACTTGCGTCCGCTCCCCCCTCCGGTCTTCTTGACACTGTCACGATCCCCGGTCCAGGTAGGGGGAGGAGGGGGTGCGATAGGTGCAGTGTAAGTCTGTTATCACTACGAACTAGTGCACACGCATGTCACCATCCCCGCTTCCGCCCCGTTGCGTGGCATACGGTGGATACCGTTGGTCATGACGGTCAAACTGTTGTCGTGTCTAGCGGTGCATGGTGGAGCGAAGAGAGAGGGAGGCCGCCATCGGGGAATTCATCTCCACGACAAATTAGCGCGTTTCTCATAATAATAAGTCCGATGCCTTTAAATCTATCACGACGCGCTAGAAATCACGGCTTAGAAGACTGCCGACTGATGAGAAAACTTGGTCATCATGTGCATTTGAGATGACCGACTGGAGGACTGGGAGTCTGGCCAGGTGGCTCCTCTCACATTTGGCTACTACGGCGCCTTCACCTACGAGAGACCCAGGCCGCCCTACGTGAAAGCCTGCCTCTTCCTGCTGTGGCCAAGTCGCTTGTGGCGCGCGTAGACAGTGTGTTAAACTTTGTCAGCCAGTGTTAGTGTCTACATCTGATCGCCCTAACACTCTCTTACCATCAGAGTCTGGTGTGTGAGGAAGTAAAGAGTATGATAGATGCCGTCGAAATCTACGTCAATATAAACTAATTCACGTGCAAGTCGCCGGTGCTGCAGTCACTCCGTGGGACCCGAGGTGGGTGTCGTCGCTCACGAAATACCGCCAAACAAAATGGTGCGCCACGATCTATTGGGATTTATGACACGCCCCATCCGGATGAACATATGAATGTTAGTATAATCCTCATTTGATATCTATGGGACAAGAAATTCGTAGATATGAGGTTCATTCTCAGAGCTGATATTCGTTCTCAGAATTCAGATTCGATGCAGAACATTTATAACAAGTGCGAAGGGTTATTTTGGCCAGGACATGTAAGTTCCAGAGTTTGTTATAAATGAACCGGTCTATGCTTGGACTTAAAGGAAAAATACACACGGGTATACACGTAAGTACGATTAGAAGAAACAAAACAACCAGGCGAATGCAGCTTTATGATAAATTGTTACTGAATGTTGTGTCCAAGATTTAAAGGTCGTATTATTGGCGCACTAAAATAGAACGCCTTTTCATGTCCCTACAAGTTCGTGTTGTAAGGATGGACAAACAGGCTTATAAGGCAGCCTGCGAAGAGGCTTGGCGTCGTAGCATGATGACTGACTGATTACCATTTATACAGTCAGTTCTCGATCAGCTATTCTCTCGTGGGACTTTGCACTTTTACGGTGTGGACAATAACTGAGACGTTTGGTTCAGCGCGGCGTACCAGCCCCTAATAGCGCCTTGTGACCTAACAGTCTTTGTCCGCTCATCGCCTGCCCAAAGCTGCCCGAAATTCCTTAAATATGGTTTACGTCCGAGTATTATCTCATAGCCCGATCGATTATTGATCCTAGGACAGACCGAAAGCACAGAAGGATTTCACAAGCCCACTAGTCCCTTTTCTTCTTTTTCATGTGCATTTGAGGTGAACAACTGCCGGTTTCAATGTCCGGCTCTTACCAGCTTCCTACGAATGCGGACATCAGTGTGAAAGGTGAAGTGGACGGGGTTTGCTCAAGGCAACTGCTCCCTAGTTTTAAGGCAAACTGACCAGTAGATTAGCATTCGATTTTCCAGCCGAAGTGACTGGTCTGAGAGGATAATGCTCATATCGTCGCTGGTCACATGCTTGTGTCCAAATAAAAAATATGGCAAGGACACAGTATAGGACCTCAGTCAGGGAACAAAAATCAAATCATCGCGTAATAGGAGTTTTCTGGGTGGGACTAGACGGCGGATAGGAGAGCGCGATAGTAGATAAGCATTCGGATATATATTGGGAGGTCATATTGTGTCCTTGCGCTAAACTTCTCTACAACCACTTACATAAGAGCACACGTATCCGGAATCCGATTCTCGAGGAATGATGAGGGTATCAAGATATCTGGCAGTGCAAGCAAAAGTCGAGCATTTTACACAGCTCTTCCAGCCTGTTTTCACAAAAGGAGTAAATTATATTCCATCTAGTTACGAGGGCGAGGAGGCGTCAAAAAAAGGCGAGGACGTAATATGCCGCGATGACCTAGTTTTTTGCTCCCTGAGTTGGGTTGCTTATTGCGTCATTGACTTTATTATATAAAAAGGGGCGTGACCATGAGTAGATTATGCCAATCATTCATCCCTATTCTGTATTA